GTTAAACCAACAAGCAAGCTAAATTAAGAAAGTGTATCATAAAATGAGATGGCACACTGGGATCTGACATTCTCCTCTGCCCCTCTCCCCTACTTCTGGTCGTCTCCTCCCTGCCCTCATATGGCCTCCACGTAGTTGGCGGGCAGCATCCCCTGCTGGCCTGTGCGCTCCACACGCCCGTACATCCAGCCCTCGTCAATCTGCTGCACGTCCAGGATCACGTCGCCATCCTGGAATGACACCTCGTCTTCGTCCGCTGCTGCATAGTCATACACGGCCCGGAACCGCTTCTGTATACACATACAGACAGAGCTGGGCACCATGGTTAAACAGGCATGCAGACACAGGCCTGGTACATTTTTACTGCTATTTTGGCAAACACTAGTTTGCCTTGCCTCCAAAACACTGAAGTACATAAACAATGAGGTCCAGAAAAAGAGGGAGAAGTCCGCTCAGTACCAGAATTACAAAAGAATGGTCTGGGAGGAGTTTCCTTACCCCCCCAGCAGAAGGTGGTACAGGAGTGGCATGGCACACAGGCTCAGGGCTATGGTCATAGTGGTAGTTGTGAGGTTCCACAGGCTGCTGATGGAAGCCTGTGTCGGACGAGGGCAGCAACCAGTCAGTCAGTTAGAGAGAGTGAACAGAGCCGGCACACTGTATGCAGGGAAATGGACACATTCTCCTCAAAAATGGGATGGCTACTGAAGGAACAGCCAGAAGCAGAGTGCTGCATGATGCATGGTCATACACGGAGATGAAATTTTGATTAGGCTGGTCGTAGTGGAAGAGACATGAATAAAAATAAATATACAAAGAATTTACATGTGACATATTCAAAATTACAGGTTGAAAAAAAACTGCTGTGCAAATGGGCAACAGACATGAATGAACAGGAATGTGCAATATATAGATCAATAGATTTAGGGGTAATGATTCCAGTGCAGAGTGGGGCACAGTTAGTCCTTTTAGTCAGTCCAGCAGTCGAGCTGCCTCTGTTGTGGCTCTGACGCAGTATTGGGGGGACAGATGGACGAGAATACCTGGGAAAGTGTTAGTCTGAGGAGACGGGGATTCTCCACCCGTGCGGTTCTTCTCAAACTCCTCGTGGTACTTGATCTGTGATGGTCCAGGGAGAGACAGGCATTTGGTTTCAAAACTGCTCCACTACATCGGCTCAGTATGTGCTAATGGCAACCACTGCACTTCTCCATACATAAACAGGTGAGGAAGGAGCCTCCCATTACACAGCAAAAACTAATGTCATCATTCAGAGTATGTGGTGGGGGAGAGGGACAATGCAGCTTACCAACTTAAGAGCCTAGATGAGATGGAGATTAAAAAAAAGGGATACATTTCCTAATGCTGACCAAGGACGGAGAAAACATGCTATGTTTCAAGTTGGTGGGTGTGAATAAAATGTTTTACTGTGATGGCACCTCTAAGATCAGTCAGCCGCGGGAGGAGAAAAAAAATGTTCAAGGCTTGGTTTGTCATTGTGTGGCATCTTCCAGAAGTTACTCAAAGGTCAAAGTACATATAAAAAATTGTACACAAACACACACAAAAAATGCTGTAGTTCTCCATAATTACCATCAGGGGTTGTTGCTGCACTCATACTCCTCCCACCATCTCTTCCTTATTAGGTATGAGGCTAAACACAATTCCGTTTTTGGAAGAACTTGAAAATCAAAAGGGAAATGACATAATCACTATGTCATGTGACCCAAGTGTTGCTAAGCAACACTGCTAGATACAAGGAACAGGTAGTGAGTAAGACAAGCTAAAAGGGAGGGGAGGGGTAAGAATGAAAAGCTTTTCTGAAAGAGTATGGGTCACGGCTACACCACAAAATAAAGCAAGCAGAAGAGTCATTGATACGACTCAACATCCGGCTCACTCAAAAGGCACTGACAGCACACTCGCCAACGGCAAAGCATGACGCGCTTCATTACAAACTTGGGTTTGTTAATTAGGCAGTGCAATTTGCACATTTGGTGGTTTGGCACAGACAATATGCACAATAAGGCCCCCCACCATGTGTGAAATTCTGAGAGAAACTGAAAAAGGCATTTGGGGGGGGGG